AATTCTTCTGCTAGGTGGGGTTTAGTCCACTTCTATATCCTTCCCTTCAAGGCTCAGGGGTCCAAGATTATCTTCTGTGTCTGTGTTAATTAGTTTCCCTTTTCTTTGTTGAAGAGGGTCTGTGCAGTCTTTCTGCCTAGTCCGCCATCTTGCTGGAACTTGCCTAGACTGAAGTTTCTTGAAGGCAAAATATGTCTTCTTTATTTTCTGTATATTTTGTTCTTTCCTGTGTGCCTGGCAACTCCAGTGCGTACAGCAGTAGTAACCGCCGCAGCTGCATACCGCTGACATTTAATGAGTTCTACATGCTGGGCTGTGTTCTGAGTGTTTTATATGGATTCTTGCAGGTAATCCTCACAATTTTCCCAGATCAGTATGCTTATTATCCCTGTTGTACAGAAGAAGAAACTGAGAGACCTAAGATCACACACAGGTTAACTGGCAGATCCAGAACTCAACCCAAAGCTCCCCAGCTCTACGTCCCAGCATCTTCTAGGTTGTTGACTTGGGTTTCGAGGTTGAAGAGGCGAGGATGGGGTGGGTTGCCAATGGGTGGGAGGGGAGTATCCACAAGAAAACATCAAGAGTTACAGAAATGCATAGGCATGTATCAAAAAAAAGCTACCTGAAAAGATGGCTTCCAACATATCAATGGGGGTTATTTCCCGGCAGTGGGATTAGAAGTGCCTTTTCTATATTTGTAGGTATTGTTTGATTCTTCAAGGAGCAGGCAGGCTGTTGTTATGACAGGAAGATAAACAATGAAGCCAATTTAAATATGGGAAGATAACAAAATAAAAAGAGGAAGGAAAAGGCAGGAAAGAAGAGAGAGCCCCACTGATGTTTCTGAGAAGCAGGGCAGCATGCCGCTCCTGTTTTCGATGCCTCTGGTGATGCTGCAGGAGATGATGCCGGGGAAAGATAACATCTTACCACGATGAATCACCATGATCATCATCACTAACATTGGTAGGGCCCAAAGAAAGGAATAAAGGAAGCAGAAAATCCAGTTACCATCCTAACCTGAAAAAAAGCAAAAACCAAACCCGTTGCTGCCAAGTTGATTCTCATTCATGGCAGTCCCATGTGTTTCAGAGTAGAACTGTGCCCCACAGGGTTTCCACGGCTGTGACCATGTGAGACTACTAGATCTTTCTTTTGAGGTCCCTCTTGATAGGTTCAACATTTTGGCTGTTATCTGAGTGCTTAACCTTTTGTGTCACCCAGGGACCTCTTAACCTAAAGTTCTGAGAAGGTCGAAGTGCCAATGAGAAGTACAATGCAACCAAAAAAGATGCCAAATGGATTCCAGAAAACCCCAGCAAACGAGGGAAGCAGGCCACTCGGATGTGGCCTGGGGGCAAGACAAAGGGCTTATGCTCAGCAAAAGGTGGGCCCAGCCCTATCTTCAGAAACTGAGTTCCCAATGGTGGGACAGGCTGCCTCAAGAGGCTGCGAGCTCTCATCTTTCTCAGATGACACCTCCCGTTTTAGTTAGAAGATCCGAGACAACACGATGGTGAACTGCTTGCTGGGAGAAGCTCCAACTGCATAGCAAAGCAGAAAGAGGAAGACGGGCCGAAGCCAAGCATTCAAAGCCTTTATGAACCATCGCAGAACCTGGGCTGGGCCTCCCCCGAGCGGCCACACTAGAGGGTTCCTGCCTGTGTGCCTGTCTGCCTCCGCTGTACTGGGAGCAGCTTGAGGGCAGGAGCCAGGCCTTCTCCTGGCTGTGTCCCAGGCACCTAATCACAGCTCCTGCACAGAGCAGGCAACAGCACTCGTGTGTGTCGAAGAAACGAACGTCTCCATTCTACGTACTTTATTAACTGATTTCTATTTTAATACATAAAACACAGATAAACTCCTCCTTCTTCCACAACACCTCCGCGGCAACTCTGGCGCTGCGTCCGCCATTCTGAAGGTGACCTGAATTGCAAAGGCCCAGGCGACCAAGCAGATGATCCAGTGACTTGCGCGTGGGTCATCGCCACAAGTTGGAAGCTACATTTGATACCAAGCTGAAAGCCCTCTGGGTGGAAACAAGGTCTGAGCATTCCGTGCAGGGGGGAGGCACATGCCAGGGAGCCGCCAGCTCACGGAGGAATGCCGCTAAGGTGACAGCCATCTCCCTGGAGTCATTCATGGAATGACGTGAAGCCCACGGGCAGGGGCCATTTGGCCTGTCAACCAAGCCAGCCACCTCAAGCTCCTCACACCTGTTTTGGACACAGGCAAATTTCAAGCTGGGGAAAGGCTATGTTGGTAAATGATGACATAACAGTAGACACTGAAACCATACTCAACCTTGGGACCAGGAGGATGGTAACTGGTTCGTCTGTGGGGAAAAGCTTCACCTTAAAAGGACCTAGCTGTGAGCTGGGTGGCACTGTCCCCACAGATGGGCCCCGTGGTGGATGCAGTAGACAGAAGGGGGCCTTCCATGGCAGAGAAAAGCAAGGCCCCCAAAGAATCACCATCTGGGCCAATCCCAAGGCTGAGAGAGTCAGTCCCAGGGGGCGTGCCCTGCACCACAGGGGCATCTGGACACATGGCTTTATCTAGGCGGATTGTGAGGTGTTTTGTTTTTCTCCCCCCACCAGGCTGAGTAACCATTGCCCTGTATAGTCACCAAACCAAAGACTAAAAAAAGATTCATGCCACACAGGCTCATCTGATCCCCCAGCTCCTGCCTAATGTGGCGATGCACCGGCGGCCTAGAGGGTGAGTCGGGCGCTTATCTGATTTCAGCCAATCTGTTACTGTATTTCATTCCCTGTCCTCATGCCCAGAGGCTGTTGCAATGGGTATAAATTTAGAAAGAGAACGATAAATAACATGGAAAAGTTCATTTTAACAAACTAGGTTGTTGCTTGCTTTCTTTTGCTGAAGAAAAGACAAAATGATCTCGTTACTCATTTAGCCCTGACAGTGGTGGCATGTGACATTCTGGACAGCAGCATTAATAACGCATAACCACAGCCCAAGAGGAGCCAGCTTCCTCTGAACCTTGTACAACAGTCAGCTTCCACTCTGAATGCTTCTTAAGGGGTTTCAGGAGATGACAAGTGGATACACACAGCACCTGGCCCAGGATCTGGAATGTTCCAGGCCCTCTGAACCAGTGAAAGTCTAAAGGGAGACAGTGTTGACTCTCCACTGAGTCTGTAGCAGCTAACTTGACAATACACTGCCCCAAACTGCCATTTTATGAGTGACACATTGATAATTTCAATGGAACTGTTTTCTAAGAAAATGAATATCACAGACTAGAGATTTGGGTAATGATGGGAATTACTCTGACAGAGAAACTGCTTGAAAAATGCTTGCCTTCCCTCACACAGAAACTCCCAGCCTGATGGATTTGTCAACCCTCTTGTAAGGAAAGATTGCTGACCAATCTCACCCGCTAATCATTTAGCCCAGACCTCTGTTACAGAGGAAGAAATGAAAGCTGGCTGACTGGCCAAGTCACGTGGCTATCAGTGACGGAGCCGGGGTGGGGAGCAGGCCCTCGGATCCCGGCTCGTCCGCGTGCTCTACACCTCCGCCACCACCCACTGCCAGAAGCCAACCAGCCCAGCGTTGTACCTCAGACAGCATCTCATACTGGCCTCTTCTTCCCAGAGCGATGGTCAGTAAGTCGTAGACCACAGACGCGCTCTGCAAGCTGATCAGGCGGTCACTCTTGTGCTCAGGTATCCTGCTCAGCACAGCATCCCGGTTGGCCTGAAACAAGATGGGAGAGAGAAGCAGATGGTAAGCCAGCCCTCACACACAGCCACCCTTTGCGTTAGGAGTCATACATGTCCTCCTGCCTCTCACAGTTCACCAGCGGTCTGGAGATAAGGGCAGGAAGAAGCAAGGGCTTGTCACCTTGGGTCATTTATTCAAGCCCCAGAGCACCAGTGTATATGATATTCTTCACACACAGATGTCCGGATGCCATCCCAGAGGGCACCTGTACCTGTCGGCAGGCATCTAGAGGAAACCTTGGGAGCCAATGTGAAGCAGTGCGGTTTCACTAGGCTTGGCTTCATAGACAGCCTCGCTCAGACCTAGCTGTGCACTGACATGGCAGAACCACACATCAAGGGAGGCCAAGTTTCTCATCTTGTTTCTGCTCTACATTAAAGAGGGGAGATAATTCCCAGCCCCACATTTCCCCTCGCCGAATAGAGCTACCAAGTGCCACTGGTCCTACCAAGGGTCTAATACCTTCTCTCTATCACACGGGCAAGATTCAAACCCCTATGTGTGTCTCTGCTAGAACGGACCACAAAGACTCATTCAGTCTTATCTGGGGAAGCACAAAGCAGGTGGATGAGGGAAGCAGGAGGAAAGAGATTTTTATTTTAAAAGATAATACCACAGAGGACTCAAGAGAACACCTTGCCAGTTTCCCATCGCCACTGCTCAGCACAGAAATGCACCAGGCAGACAATAGCTTATGAGTCTCATCTATCTAGAAATCAGAGGAGAGCTCTGGTGGTGGAGTGGTTACAGTGCTCAGCTGGTAACCAAAAGGTCAGCAGTTCAAACTCATCAGCCACTCCACAGGAGAAAGATGAGGCAGTCTGCTTCTGTAAAGATTACAGCCTTGGAAACCCCTGGGGCAGCTCTGCCCTTCAGAGTCAACTATGAGTGGGGATTTGACTCGAAAGCAATGACTTCAGGTTTGGATCTAGAAATCAAATGATCTTCACAGCAACTTGTCTCCGTTATTTCTGCAATTTCATTTCTCTACAGAGACCTATCACACGTATTAGGGACCCAGAAGCCAGCCCATTTCCCCTTTTCTTTCCTAGGGGGCTCAAACTCAGGAAGGTTAGATCTCACCTGTTTCTCCCTGCTAATTAACAGAAGCCTCCAGATCCCTTCATCCCGAGGTGCTGAGAAAGAGCCCCTCGGTCTTTACTGTGGGGTAGCATGTGGGGTGCAAGGGTCACTCGTCCAGGCAGGCTGATGTTTGTCTTCCTGCCTGACATTCGCAAAGGCTACACACACGCCTTCCCTCTCACTAATGAGACAAAACACGCTTCCTCTGTGTGTGACTCCAAGGCCCCTTCTTCCAGCCGCCCGTCAGTACTTACTCACTTGAGAATTCCTTGCTCTTAAATGTCAAAACCAACTAAGAATATGTAAGACAGGCCTCTTCCTACAAAGTGAGTCATCTCAGGCGGAAACAAGCCTACTTTTGAAGACGTCGTTCTAAATTTTCCTTGTTGGAATGACTTTTGAGCCCGATGAAGAAGCTCTGGCGGCACTGGGGGCTGCACAGAGTGGGCTCCTTTTCTTTATTGGCTATAAATGTTTCAAACAAAGATCAGAGCTTGGAAGAGAGCAGGACAGAGCAATCATCCTTCCAAGAGACATCTACAAGTGACTGCCAGTGCTTTCATTTTTTTCATTTGTAGAGTCTCTTTTGGTTAAAAAGTTTTAATAGAGAACCTTAAACAGATCCACAAAGATAACTAACCGGCACACTGTCTCGGTAGCAGCTGCGCGGCTGTAGCGCTGACTGCCCCTCTCTCCTGGGAAAACGGATCTGCTCTGCAGTGAAAAGCAGTACACATGCAAATGCCTCCTTGTGGGTGGAGAGACTGGGGACACATTTTTATTTCTAAGTTAAAGTCAGAATCAGTGAAGAATATCATTTCCTCAGCCATCGAAAGAAAAAAAAGGCAATTCCCATTTTAGTTCTGAAATTGGGCACATCCACTTTCTTCTAAAAACTGAAAAATCAGAAAGTCAAATGACATGAAAAAAAGGCAAAGACAACTCAATTTAGACTTCTACCTACATAATTACAGAAGGATTTATAGGCAGACCATGACCATTTTGGTTGGAAACCTAGCATTTCATATTTACTAATGATGTCATTGGATCTCACAATCTCCTGAAGAGATTTTCTGGAAATTAAGAGGATCACAGAGCAAATCGTACTGGCTCCGAGCATCTCAATGTTGAGCAAGATTCATCTCTATCACTTCCACTGGAACACAGGAGCGTCAGAGACGTTTGCGAGATATCCACACTTGTCAGGTGCCATTGAGTCGGCTACCACTCAAGGCGACCCCACGTACAACAGAACGAAATAGTGCCCTGTCCTGAGCCAGCCTCACAATCCTTGCTATGCTTGAGCCCATCTCTGCAGCCACTGTGTCAATCTTGAGGGTCTTCCATTTTTTCACTGACCCTCCACTTTACCAATCATGATATCCTTCTTCAGGGAACGGTCCCTTCTGATAACATGACCAAGTAGGTAAGACAAAGTTTGGCCATTTTTGCTTCCAAGGAACATTCCGGCTGCACTTCTTCCAGGACAGATTTGTTCATTCTTCCGGCAGTCCATGGTACTTTCAGTGTTCTTCACCAATTCCGGCTGCACTTCTTC